GCAATTCAGATCATTGCACTAGCTCATGATCTCCTTGAAAACCAGAATCATGTCTGTCTCACTTTTTGGGCTTACACTCAGCATGCCCAGGCCATGGGGGAAGCTCAGGGTCAAATAGACAAATCTGTTCACTCCTCTCAGTTCTCAATGGAGGATAACATAACCTCATAGACGCAAACCATGAGAAGCCTCTTGTATCAACTTTAATAGGCCTGTTTAATCTGGTTTCTCTTACACGTTATCCATCCATCTCATTTTAAAAAGCAGCCATTGATCCTTAGCTCTACAGATGCATGCCACTGAGCAAGTAACTTCACTGTGAAGTCTGAAATGCTGTAATTCAGTGCTACATTCGGTCCAGTTTGGCTTTCTGTGTGAGGGCTGTACATCACCGGGAAGATTTGATCACTGGTTAGCTAGGACAATTGACTAGGCTCCTCAAAGATGCCTCTTTTAGTTAAAAAATTCTTGGTCCCAATTAACCAAGTAAAAAACTGTTACCTTTTTTAAAAGCCTCAGTTTCTTTTCATCAAAGACCCAAATAAACATGCCTAGCGCTTGAATACTGAAGGGCAATACCTGAATATAAACACATATTTTGATACTTATCGATTGCACTTTTTTTTTTTAAGATTTTATTTTATTTTATTTTATTTGACAGAGAGAGGTCACAAGTAGGCAGAGAGGCAGGCAGAGAGGGAGAAGCAGGCTCCCCGCCAAGCAGAGAGCCCGATGTGGGGCTCAATCCCAGGACCCTGAGATCATGACCTGAGCCGAAGGCAGAGGCTTAACCCACTGAGCCACCCACGTACCCCGATATTGCACTTTTTCTAACAAGAGTCATTATTTATGAAATCTCTGAAGTCTCCTATTATTTTTGTCACCTGCTATAATCTAGCCCCTGAAAAAACTGGGTTATGCTGGTCCAGATATTCAAACCAATCTAATTTTCATGCCAACCAAATAAATAAACTGCAGAATAGCTGAAAATGAAACTTGTTTAAGCATGTGTAATTTTAGCAGACATTTAAATATAACACAGATGGTAAAGGCTAATGGGTGGCGTGGCAGATTAACTATTTGTATTTAAGTATTATAATATTTATAGCAGAATCACTTTTACAATGGCAATTATTAGTACAAGACAACATTAGAGACCAAATATTTTAATATGTGGGTGATATTGTTAAGCACATGGGGTACGTCTAGAGGAGGGGTACCTTAAGAAACAGCACCCAAGTAAGGAAATACTTTTCTCCTAATAGTGGATGTAGAACCATAACACTAGGGCTAGTCTTCTGCAAAGAAATTTTTTCTTTTTTTTTTTTTAAATATTATCAGTCCTTGCATTTCTATAAAAGAGCAGATGTAGTGCCACACAACAGAAAATCTAAATCATATTTATTTGCATGGTATTCTAACTTGCATGCTTGAACACATTTTTAGTGACAGGAAGGAGAGAGGGCAAACACATATTACGTAGTAAGGATCAACTACCATTTCTTAATTTGCCATGGATTATACAAAGGGTCAATCTGAGAAATATACTCAAACACTAGTGTCTGAATTGAGCTCATCTGGGTTAGTTTATATTTTCTTCTAGCTGACTCTTGAGCTCTAACGCTATTTAGTGAACAGATCTACTCAACTAAAGTTTAAGAATGTGTTAGGTTTCCTGTTAACTTTTGGGTAAACTAATCCATTACCCTAATTCCTGAACAGCCAAGGTTACATTATCAATCATTTCAGATATATGCAACTTGAGGTTCTGTGATCATTTAAGTCAAAACCATCAGGAAAAAAATTTATTCACGACAGATTAACCAACCGGAAAGCAACCTCTAAGTTCTATCATCTTGCTGTTAATTTAAATATAGCATGAGGTCTGACTTTATAACGTCTGTATCTAAGCTAATAAAGTAGTACTTTGTTGCGGACAAAATGGAGTCCTACATTTATGTCACAAAATGGTCTAGCTTTCACTTCTAGGGTAAGAACAGAAATGTGCTCTGCGGGGAAACACACTAACAGTGCTCTTTGGTTTTGTATGAATTTAAGAAGTTTGTATATGGAAATAGCTATGGGTATCAAGTGGCAGTTTTGTAATGTTGTTCATGTATGCTTGTTTTAAAGAAGACTACAAACACAAGAAACTGTCTTGTCAAATTTCAAGTTACTTTCCATACCAACTGCTTCCCCCACGGACACCCTTCTATGCAGTTTAAGACTACACAATCTTACTGTTAACAACCAGCAACCACATCCATCAGTATCTCCAAAATTATAAGCTAATATTAATGGACAAAAATCACTGTAAGAACTTTGCAAACAATTAAGCAAACAGGAGTTAAATTAAGTCTCTGTGCACAATGTTTACATGATGTGGAAGAGATAAAACAGCCTTTCCAAGTTTTGACAGTTACCTAAAATGTACATGTGTCTTTGAAGTGGCCAGTATGGGACAAGATGTGTAAGGCCTTGCAGTATTGATAAATCAGGTTCTGAACTATGTTACTAACTCCAAAAAATACAATTGTAACACTGTATTTTCACAATGCTTAACATGTTGCCATTACATTACTTAGTAGACCTCTACCCATTTTTAGTTACTTGCAAAGATTTTCAATTCAATTGACTTTCCAGATTTTAGAAGTCATTATTCTAGGGCATTAAAACTAATAATAGTTCAAGAAAAATGAGATGACAAGTTATAGACTGGGAGAAAATATTTGCAGAAGACATGTCTGATAAAGGACTGTTGTTCAAAACAGAGAAAGAACTCTTTTAACAGTAAAACTGACTAAAAATTGGCCAAAGACCTCAAAGAAGATATACAGATGTCAAAAAGAATACAGAAAGATGACCCACATCATACATCATCAGAGAAATACAAATTAAAATGAGATACTACTGCACTCGTTAGAACACGGACCAACACCAACTATCGGTGAAGATGTGGTTCATTCACACTGCTGGTGGGAATGCAAAATGGTGCACCACTTTGGAATTAGAGAACTAAATATTCTTACCACACAACCCAGCAATCACACTTGGTATTTACCCGGAAGAGTTGAAAATTTGTTCACACAAAACTTGCACATTATAAAGCAGATTTATTCATAATTGCCAAAACTTAGAAGCAACCAAGATATCCTTCAGTGAGTGAATGGATAAACTGTGTCACTTCCAGGCAACATGTTATTACTCAGCCCTAAAAAGAAATGAGCTACTAAACCATGAAAGGCATGGAGGGGACTTACGCATGTATTCCTAAGGAGTGAAAGAAGCCAATCTGAAAGGTTACATACTGCATGATTCCAACCATAGGACATTCTGGAAAAGGCAAAATTAAGAGTAAAGATCAGTAGTTGCCAGGGCTTAGGGGGAGGCTGAGGAATAGGCAGATTTCTAGGGCAGTGAAAATACTCCATATACTCTAACGATGGATACAGTTGACCATACATTTGTCCAGGCTCATAAAGTGTGCAATGCCCAGGGTGAACTGTCACCTACTAATCATGTGTTAACGTAGGTTCAACAGTTTTAACAAATAGACCACGCTGCTGACAGATGCCGGCAGAGGCGGCTATGCACAGGTTGGGGACAGGGGAGACGGTATGTGGGGTTATCTCTGTACTTTCGATTTTTCTGTCCATCTAAAAGCCACTATAAAAAGATAGCCTTTAAAGTTTAATAGGGCATACTCACTATGTGCCGGCCACTGTTACCATCCTTATTCACAGATCCTGATTCCAGGGTCCATGATCTTAACCATTATGACATACTACTCAAAAAAGTTCTTTCCTTCACAAATTCTGCAAATTTTGCAGAAGTCCACCTTAGTTCAAATTGGAAGCTCTAGTTTTACAGAAAAGGCCCACTGAATAGATTGGATGAAAGGACTAGCCTAAGGTCATAGTTAATTCTTACCATGATCTGTCCCAGCAAAACATTTTCAGAGTGTGAGTGTGCAGACATGAGTCCGTATAAAAAGAAACAATTTTTTCTTCAAATGTTTAAGATCTCAATGTACATTCCAGTCAAAGTCCACTCCATCTTGCCCAAAGAACACTCGGGTCTGAATCAAGTCTAGTCAGCATTGTTATCTTCCCAGCTGCCTTACACTTTCTCTGCAATCAGTTGATGCTCCTGACAAATTAAATCCTCAAGTCCCAATCTGTTATAAATATTGCTTAAAAAAATTATGGAAACATTACCACCATCTCATGCTACACAAAGCTACAGTCCAATGAAGGACCCATCATCTTACTAAGTCTTCTTTATCCCCCAGATACCACCTTGATTCAGATTTATCAAGCAAATGTTGACAGAGTGAAGCACTGAGGGGAAATAAATGTTAAACTTTGAAAAAAAAAAATTACTGGCCTTCTTAATACTGTAATTTTCACCTCAATTGTGGTTCTTCAGTATCTTATTATTTCTGATATTATCTCATGGATTTTCCCCACTTGAAGCAGAAGTACCAGCACCTAATGGACTGGTACAGATGATCACAAACCAGGGTATTTCCATTTCAAAGTCCATCACTTGAAAGTCATGGTTCTGCTTTTGGCTTCAGCTACCCCATGGGCCCATCTCTACATTGAAACCAAACCCAAAACAGAAATAAAATTATGCCTGTTTTTGTACACAACTGTCATGTCTGAAGTGTCCCCTATAAAGCAAAAGAATGGAAAAGGGAGACAGGCAATGGTAACTAAAATACCATTCCTTTAAGTTCTAAGATAGTTGTGATCTTAGAAAGTGCCTATTCATTTCTTCAAAAATAAACTGCCCACCGTGTACCATACTTGATGTTTCACAAAATTCAATGTATGGTTCTGACTTGAACATATCCTATTCAGGGACAGCAATTCAAAAAATTCACAGTATAGCCATGCAAAGTCTACATATGCAACTACAAAGGCTGAAACAATTTCTAACTATTCCCCTTTATGACTTCTAACTATGGCTTAAAAACCCAATGGACAAGTGGAAGCTTCCCTCTGTACATGGCTTTTATTATTTACATAATACAATATAGCATCAATGCTGAATAGCATGATTATGTGCAATACATAAATATGAACTATCTGTACACATCTGCAGATCTAACTCAGAACTAAGGTACATAAAATTGAAAGCAAAACCGAATGCTTTAATTAAAGTAAAAACTAGGACCGAACACTGCAATAAATCAGAAGTAGTGCCTCGTGTACATACTTAACTATTTACAGATGAAAACAGGCATTACCACAATACTAATCTAACTATACTCATTTATATATAAAAAACACAAGTTTCATACATCACAAAAACCTTCCATTATAACACAGAAGTGATATTACCAGACAAGCATCAGTGAAGTATACTGCCTCTTCTAGTTGTTATTGTACAATGCTGTAGATAATGCAGCCCATGCAATACACCCAAGAACACTAGAGTCCTACACCCAAGTACAATTAATATGATAAAGCGGCCCTCTGCACGTGGTGCTGGATACCACTAAGAAGTCTACTGCAGCCGTGTTGGTTAGGGTTCTCCATGCAGAAGGGTACAGTTACATTAAGAACTGAAGTCTTTAAAAAAGCTTTAAACATTCTTTCTTGAACCAAAACATTCAACAAAAGATGCACATGAAAAATTAACTTTTCAGATACCTTTGCAACTTAAAATTCAGATGCATGTTATTCAATAGAGCTGCTGTATGTAAAAACCAAATGTAGTTTTAATTTCTTCTTGTAAACAAATTAATCCCAGTGCAGTTCTGTGCTACACAACATTTTTAGCAATGAGAGTAATGCAGACATCTTCTGGTGCAGGCTAGCACAGTAAGCGTCAAAGATCACTCAAGACCCTGTGGGCCTGAAGGCTTTACTCATGATAACCAGTTGCGATGTTTACCTTTCACAGAATGTCTTATTTGACAGCTTTTAGAAGACAAATTAACCAGGTCTACATATGGCACCAAATACTGGTTTCATGGAAAGATCTGATCCTCTTTATAGTTTTCCTCCTGCTTCCAAAGAACATGTTGTGGAAATTAACAGGGTGAAGTTTAACTATGGTAGAAGTAGACTGCCAGTCCTTTTCTGGTGTACCATTTTTTAAAAAAATACAGGCACATAACACTAGCCAAAGATTATACCTTGATTACATTCCCAAAAGGCAGATATGCTGCAAACATGCAGAGATTTCATGTATTATGTTTGGCACATGGGAACGAAATTTTGTCCCTATCTGTGTATTTTCAATTTGCTGTGCAGATTTCCATCCAATTTTATTCAGGGGAGGGCATATACATTTTGTAGGGCTGTATCTATCCATTTCTGCCTGTAACAAACACCCAAACATCCTAAAATTTCAATTATAAGACAGACAAGTGTAAAGTAAAACTCTGGAGAACATCAAAGGAAAATGGCCATGCATCTGCTCTTTAATGTTTTCCTACGATATATTAAAATAAAAACAAAGTTTCAGTCTCTTCACAAGTAGTAATTTATATTCTCTGGATTTTTTCAGCCACAACAACTGGATTCTCTTTTCTGATTTTTGCTGCAGCTTCTGCTTTGTAATCATAAGGACAGTTGTGCTTGTCAGAATAACGGTGAAGTCCACAAAACAAATTTCCACATCGGCAGTCAAACCCTGTACACACAAGAGGAAGGAGAGTCACTTGGGAATTTGCAGTAATTAAAAGGAAAGGGGAAAAAAAGCCTCAGTCACTAGAGAAAAGGAACCAGATTTTCATGGCTCTCTGCAGTATTAAAGAGTCTGCCACTTTAAATTGTGAAAGAGCTTTCAGCCTCTTTTGACATAGTGAGAAATTCAAGTAACTACCCTTCCATAAACTCCCGCAGATACCACAGAGTAGAAATCACACAGGCTCTGGAGCCAGACTGACCTGGATGCAAATCCTCCTCCTACCACATATAAACTGGGTAAGGCATCCTCAAGAGAAAAATAGGGAAAGAGAACCATGGAGTTCTGAGATTTAAAGGGAACAGTTAAGTATTTTAGCATTTTCTGGCTGGCCCGAAGATGATGCTTATTGTTTAGTTCAGCTACCTTGCCCCCAGGAGAACAAAGGAAGAATCAAAAAGGATGAATTTTTATCAGTTCAATAAAGCAAAGTAATTCAGAAGGCCTCAAGCTAGTAACAGGTTTTAGAGAATTAGAGACACAAAATGGGAATCAAACACAACTTCTCCCCACTATCCTGCCCCCTTTCTAGTCCACTCTGGAAACTTTCAGTTCCTGAAAGTCAGGCATTTTGTTATAGGTGTTAAGACCAACTAGGCTCTTAGGGAGCTCCCTGTTAAATCCTAGCAATAAAATACGCATTGTCTTCTATGTTCTGTAGTACCTGTAAGGCCAACTTTCTTTCTGCACATAAAACATCTGTTCTTCTTTGGTTTGGGCAACTCAGGAGCTTTTTCTTCACCTTGAGAAGTACTGGGCTGAGAAACTGATGGACTAGGCTGAGTGACAACTGAAAAACAAGGGTGAAAAATGAGGTATCTGTCAAGAGTTCACACTGACAATTATTTAAGTCAAAAAAAATATTTAAGAGAGACAGCTAGATTTTTAGTGAAAACATTTATGAAGGCTTTCTTTAAAAAATGTGCTCTATACAGAATCTTCTACTTTAATATCAGAACTTCTTTCCAATCTGAGAATTTCTTGCCAATCAACACATACTCATTCCTCTAAATGTTGTAAAATGATTACTACACTCAAATTCCTTTTAAGTCACTCTTAACAGCTAATACTAGGGAACAATCCTAAGTTTTAAAGACCTGGGAGATGTTGGTCACATGCCCAGTTTTTCCATACTGCGCTTGCCTAAGGGCAAATTTCCCTAATTAGGGCAGTTCACATTCATTATTACTGAGTAAATAAATTTGCCAACTCCTAAGGTACTTGACTATAATAAAGTCAGTTTTATACTGATACAAAAGACAGACTATATAGATAAATCCAGCAAATTGCAACAAGTAAAACCTAAAACATTAAACCTTAATTAACTTCAGATCCCAACATTTTACAATAATCATTTTGCCATTTTAATAAATGCTTTATATGGTAGAAGATCTGAACAGTTCTTAAAAAACTTTTTGAAAGATTAGCAAACACAGTTTTTAGGACTGTTAAGTACTTGTGAAATTCTGACCATTAAGGAGTCCACAGGCAAAATAAGAATTTTTAAAGCACAGCTTTTATTTACTTTGTAATACTTATCTAAACCCAGTGTGGAATTTAGACAATGAGAAATACAATCTACTTTTAAAAAGTCTGTTTCTCCACCTAAAAGGGCTTTAAATTTTAATTCATACAGGACATAGATAAAACTTGTCAATATGAAGATAAAATGACAGTTCACCACATTACCACTAGTTATTTAAAACAAAATACCAAATTTAATTCTACTTTTATAAAATTCAACTATACCAGAAGCACTGAATTTTAGTATTAATCCAAACCCAAAGAATAGCAAAGTAATGTATGCAATGCTAAAATTACTGCTTAAACAAAAGGCCAGCACTAATGCTGTAAGCATAAATCCAAACTCTAGAGCAAGCTGATAGGTTTCAGGGCAGCTCACTCTAAAATTCTCCCCGAAAGTATAACTCATTTACATTAGTAACATACTCAGTTAGACTAACAGCTTAATATTAGACTAAAAGAATAATATTCTACCTGCTCTTTATCCTAATAATCTTCTAAGACAACCTTCATACAGTTTTCCCTGATGGTGTAATGGTAAAGAATCTATGGGACTAGTTGGGGCGGGGGGTGACAGCCATGGCTACATCAGAAAACTGAAGAGTGATTCCTGGGACATATATGGAAGAAGGGAAGTTAACAAGGGGAAAATGATTCAGTAAAGGCAAAGAAGAACAAACTATAGAATGCTTACTAAGAATAATAGCAGAGACTAGCTACAAATACAAACCATGCATACTGTTCCAAGGTCAAAGTAATTTTGTGTTAAACCCAAACCGAAGAAAAGCCTCACAAACACACTAATGTGGTCAGCTTTTTCAGAAGGATTGAACTCATTTTAAAATATTAAATATGGATTCACCTGAACTTGAGAATTTTTACCTTAACTTTATAGTAACACTGCTATAATTCAATAAGCTTTGTGATGTGATGTTAGCAAAAGCCAGCCTCCAAAGCAGATTACAAATCCACAAATACTATTCCCTCACAATAAAGTTTCATAATGTGCTCCGACCACGCTGTGTACAGGAAAAAACGAGCCATGTGCCCTGAAGAGCACAGAGCTGCCGGTTCAGGGCCCAGTACAGGTAAGTCAGAGCGAACTGACCTCTGGCAGCGCCGGCGCACTTCCCACTGCGCCACAGCAGCAGAGATGCGAAGCCGCTCAATGAAACAAAATGCCCTTCCATAATGAGTTTTCAACTCCTACAAAATCTGACAGGGATCCTACTCTTCTTCAGTTTCAAAGTTTTTAGTGTTCAACATGTTCTTTGTCCTCAATATTTTCTTCAATATTAACAATATCAAGACTGATACTGCTTTTGATATAAAATTTTCTTCATAGCTTTGAAATTTAATCTATACAATTACCTGTTTATTAATAATACTTTCTTTAGTGATTTAAAGATCTTTAAAATATATTGGTAAACTACCTTTTAAGTTCATTACATTCTTAATAGTTACAGTCCTCAGATTATAAATTTTACTGATCTGTGGAGTGGGGTTAGGGAAGGGGCATGGGCAGAGAAGAAAGAAGAATAAAAAATGACCTGTTACACTTGAGGGACTTCCGAGATACTGGTTCTTGCTTGGCCTGTATTTTATAGCTTTCTCTCCAATTTAATCCTTCAACGGGAAGGAAATAATCCCCCCACCAACACTTCCTCATACTCTTAAATCCAGAATGGAACTAGTATTAAACAAAAAGCATACCTGGCTCTGACACCTCTGTTTTCGGGGTAGTTATTTTGTCCTCTCTCGAAATGCTCATTTCTGTCATTTGCTGAGTTACAGGCAAGGCAGCCACAGGCACATTTCTATTTGAGTTCAAGCAAACATTTTTAAAGATGTTAAGGGTACTTCTTTGCAAGATAAGTTGTCAGTTCAACTTTAAATTATGTATTATTTCCAACATGATCAATGGAGCTAAATACTCTAAAAATTTTAAAGAGTGTTGGATGCCCAGCACACATGGTTGAGAATAAAGAAAACAATTTGATAAATGGCTCATCGATTCAAGACTGCACGTTTGGATGGGTTATAATGTTCTACCACAGCCAACTGGGAACTTTTAGCTATGCCTGTAATTTAAGGGCAAAAGGGGCAGCTTTGTCAAAATGTCACATGTCGCATTCGAATAGAGTCTGCAGAGCTGTACTCTCTACAATCTCTGAACCTCAATTACAAGAAGATAAAAGCACAGCATTCTCAACACAGAATCCTGGAAGAGTATCAGAGCGTGTTACAATATACATCTTTATTCAATGACCTAGAAGATCATGTATTAAAAGGATCCTGGAATCCCAGACTGTGCAACACAAGCAAAACCAAGGGCATCTGATAAATTAACATCCTTATACAAGAACACTCATAATTAGCACAGTATGGATAGCAGAGAGATCTTTAGTTCCTCCTTGCATTATTATAAAAAGCCTGAAATGGTCGACCTTACCTTGATTTTTCAGATGTGCTGCCAGCAGCACCTTCACAGCTGTTTAAACTAGTGTCTGCTCTCTGTACAGATGCAGAATCTGAGGTAGGACTGTTGGAACCACTAGCTGTTCCTATTTTAAAAAAGGATTTGTAAGAAAGAGCAAGACTACAAACACTCAGTATCAAGACTATTAATAAGTAACAAATACTTGCATTTAATTAGATTAGTGATTTAAGCACTTTCACTGCGCTGCAGAATCCTATAATTAAGTGAATATCCAAACAAAAGCATATATGAAAAAGTCACATCCAGTGAACCTAAGTATGAAACAAAAAAGCTAGAAGATGCTTGCAGATAGATAGTCATTCATTCCTGATGCAGTCGTGGCAAGTACTTGGGCTGTTGCTTTAATTTCAAGCTTTTCTCAGGTCTTCTCCCCTTGGGCTCTCAGCACTGATTCTCAGTCTTAGGCCCCAATTCTTGGTTCTATATTTTCTGTCCACCAGTTCTTCAAATGGGTTTTTTCCTTGGAAACTTACCCATTGGGCTCATTCTGCCACTATTCTGCTGCCTCTGAAGATGTTCTTTGTAGCAAACGGAACACATTCCATTTGTCCTAGGATTTCCATAAAAGCCACATCCTGTACTACACAGCATGGGCCCTGGAGTCTGGTTAGTCTCCTGAGCCATATTTTTCTGCTATAAACAAAACAAAAACAAAAACAAAATTTTATTCATTAGCATGTTACCAAAGTAAAAGCACTAAATTAGCATGATAGCCACCAGTGCACCTTTGTTACTTCTAAACACCAAGTGTATTTCTAACAAAGGCCCAAAATTATGTTAATCATTAAAAAGCAGTCCAAGAAAATTATGACTGTTTATTGTTTTTAAAGAACAATGGGCATTAAATCAACTGTCTTTTAACATGATAAAGAAGGAACTATAAGGACTTCATATTCTTTAGAACAAAATTTTTTTTTTAGCATTAAAACATTAAAAATGTATTACTTCACCTATCACCACGATCTTTGTTTCAATTTCTGAAAAGGTCACTCTGCCAGATCTCAGAATTACATTTAAACCAATCTGGGCAATTGGCATTCTTAAAGTCACTTTCTGCTTTCCTGTACTATAGACAGACCATATCAAATGGTGTTTTTTGCTAAAAATATATAAAATGGAACTTTCAAATGAAAAAAATCTACAAAGATCACAAATATCAACTCTTGATAGCTACTGGTGATTCTTTAAACTGGTCACATACTGGATGTAGCTCTAAAGCATTCTTAAAATAACTTATTATAACATACTTGGGCCTCACCGTAATTCAACAATTCTGCTATAGGGCAGAACAACTGTACTTTTAAAAATGTTGCAACACCTTTACAGAACACTGGAAAGAGAGCTGGTAGGTCACCTAGCCTTTCCTGTTACCTTAGCACCAACAAGCAAAAGCTCTTTAAGAATTTAGGGGTCAGCCACTTATGAAATTCCTTTTAAGTTCTGCATTTGAGGTGTGAAATCTGGGTCTGAACACTTTAAAGTCAGTGCCCAGAAACCTGCAAATGCACAAATTATCAGCTACAGATTTCTCCAGCCAAAGGCTCTATTAGAACTTTTCACAAGTGCTTGTCTTCCTCACATCAGGAAATGAAACCTTTGAAAGCTGTTTCAATATGGCAAAATAAAGCAATGTGAACACACAACCCTTGGTAATTAATATTCATTGCTAGGTTACCAAAAAGAACTTTGTACAGCAAGCTACCTTGCTTTTCCTGAAGTTTTAGCACAAATATAGTAATGCCATGCTAAATTTAGTAGATTTTCCCAAGTGAAAACACACAAAACTGTGGAGAAGTTTCCATATCACCTTAAAATATCTATGTACAAAAAGTGTATTTGAGAGCATTTTATCAAAGGGAGATTGTATAACTTGTGGTCACTGTCATTTAAATATGCCTTGATGCTTACAGTGTAGGTTACTTATGATTTGTTAAACTAAAAACATTTCAAATAAGTGCACGAAAGTTATTCAAGCTGGAGCTTGTCATCTCCTAGAATTTCATATGGCTTTGCCCAACTATCACACACACTAGAATACATTCTTTAGTAAGTTACTAAAAATAAGTTTTAACAAGTATTTAACACTTTTTACCAAGACTATAAAAAAGGGTTGGAGGACTAATCAATATTGACCTGGCCAGAATCCTGCCAGTATTTCTCCAACAGCTAAATGATAATAATCTTCCCTTTTGTTAGCAAAAAGAAATATTTCAAGTCAATCAAGCTTATATGGAGGGTGATAGAGAACCACAACTTACTTGGAACAATAGTACTAATTTAGTAGACATGGTCTCTTTAAATAGTAAGTGGAATTTAGCTGACTCATTTTGGAGCACAGTAGTGTAAACATTTCAACATCACTTATGAAGTTTATTAATAAATATTTTTAGCTTGGTTTAAAAAATTTTAATATGTGCAAAAATGCTTCAAATAATAAATTATGTATTTATTTGCATGCCCCCCCCCCCCACACACACAATGTGTGGTTATCTGCCCTATGCAAAAAGTTCATTTCTGGAAGCCAGTTTAATTATGCTAGCTCAGTTTCTATACTAACTTCCAGGGTCATCTGACAGTGGCTTTTTAATAGAAAACTGGTCTAAATTTGAGTCAACCCACGTTAACATTAGCGATTCCAATTCTTAAAATCTTTTCCTTTATATAAAAAAAAAGAGGGGGGGAATCTCATCAATGATTTTACCCACTTCCACTTGCAAAGTATCCCACCTTCTCTTCTTAAGAAAACTACTTTGAATTTACTATAAATAGCCTGCAACTGAAACCCGAGAGACACCAGGACATTAGTCTTCCACACAGCTTCCCATCTTGTATATTTCCCCCCCTTAGAAAGCCAGCTTTTAAACGCCATCACATGTGCAAAGCTTGCCTTAATATTTCTCAGAAGCTTAGATCACATGGGCGGGCGCTTCAGCCTGTCACAAGGCTGCAATGTGACAGGCTGAGCTGGATGGAGGCTCTCACATAAAGCCTAGTCAACAGGGGCCTCTGAAATCAGCTTCTATTTATATCTTAGAGCCTGCCAACTCCTACACAACCCCAAGAACTAAGGATGCTGCGTTCATATATCTAATATAATAAGGAAACAAGACAGAAGATGCCAGTAAGGCCTCTGCAATGTTTCTTCTTAACATAGGGAGAGCTAACAAACAATCTCAATTTCAACTAAGATGCATCATTCATCACTCATGAAGCCAAAATGGTCAGGCTTGTTTATAAAAACCAAGCACAGTAGAGAGAGCACCGAGGCAGAAAGAATCCTCATGTTTAAATCCTTCTGCTCAGCAGCAATTTGAGGGACGGAGTAGTTTGCCATTAGGTGCTGTTTCCCTCCTGCTTGGCACCATTTTAGAAAAATACAGTATCATTACTATTCAGTAACTTTAAAGTTTTGTTGTTAGAAACTTGTGCATTCCTGGGCCAGCTCTATCAGGTACAGAGGAAATGTTTATTTTTATATTTTGTATAGCTTCTGAAATGTGTATTTTTACAGTTTGTAGCTTCCTCTAACTTGTAGTTTAAAGAAAACTAAAACCTGGACATGTAACAGAAAAACTCACCAGCCTCAAATATGAATTAAAAAAAAAAAAAAGGGCTTTTACACCTTCCTTATTTAGTTTTCAGGTGCACATGTTAGAAGATGTTAAGAATGCCTACTCACCTGGACTTGAGATCTGAGTTCTAGTCTCTAATTTACTTCTAACTAAAACCAGTGACCTTGGGCAAGTCCTTACTTTCCAGATCTCCCTTCTCTGTTTGCCAAGAGGGGGAGACTACTCTGATTTCTAAAGTCTCCTTTCTAAGCTTAAATCGGGCCTGAGACAAAAAATAGGGGAAAACTACAATAAATTCTTTATTGGGAAACAGCAGAAAACAAAACATGTAAGATAAAAACTGCAATATTTTCACCCATTAAGTTCTGAAATCCTACTTTAAAAAGCTAAGGAATAAAATGAAATTTGTTTTAGTATTTTTTTTTTTAAGTCTGTAAATTACCTGAATGCCAGGTTTCAAAACCAGGAGTTCTGTGACCTACATACACTACTTTACCCTAACGTCCTTAGACCAGATTCTTAGCAGGCATCAATAAACACGGGCCTTTTGTCAAAACACAGCTCCACGGAGTGCGTGGAAGCGAGCAAGAATTTCGTTCACCAGCCTAAATGCACGAAACAAAGGGGAAGGTGCTCCATTTCCTTCATGAAAAGGATCTTGGGCGAATAACGCGGCGACGCTGGCAAAACTCAAACACGACGACAGAAGAGCCCCCCTCCCCCACGTTCCAGCGGATTTCCGAGCAAGTCCGGGTCCCACTGGTCCCCCCCGCCCAAGCCCTCCCCCCATGCCCCTACGCCGAGGCCTTGCTCAGGAGAGCCCAACAGGGCCTTCTCCAAAAACCACTGAGTCATGCAGAACAGCAGCTCCGCAGGCCAGGCCGGCCCCGCGCCGACCCCCGGCCCTGACCCGCTCCTCTTCCGAGGCGGCAGCTAACTGGAGAAGGGGCGGGGGGGGGCGTGCGGCGAGCAGGGGCTGGGGGCGCGGCCGCCACGGCGGCCCCTTTGTCTCTCCGGGTCCGGCTGCCCACGCCAGGCGCCGCGCCGAAGGCGGCCGGGACGGACCCAAGGGAGGCCCGGAGCCCACACGCCGGGCATTGTTCTCCGGACCGTGCGGGTGTAGGAGAGCCGGGGGCGCGGGGTGCCGGACCTCGGGCCACGACGACAGGATGACGCCTCCGTCTTTGTGCTTCCTGAGCAGGCGGGAGGGCTCCCCTCCCCCGGAGGCCACCGCTCGGGCTCCGCCAGAGGCCCGCGGCGGCCCGGCCCCCCCCAACCCCCATCCCCCGGCCGGGCACGAGCCGCCGGGCGCCCTCCCCCAGCTCCGCACCACTCACCCTGCGGGGGCAGGAGTGCAGGAGCCGGGCTCGCGCGCGACGCCGGCGCGGTGGGGCCGGGCCCAGGCCTCCGGGAGGGGCGAGCCGGGCGCTCTGGAGCGGCCGCCGCGGGCCGGGAGCGGGTCGGTGGCGGAGGTGGCGCTGCCGCCGCCGCGGGGTCCTCCTTTGTTCCTGCAGTAGCACCGAGCGTGGCCGGGACACGCCGGAGCTCGGGAAGTGGGAGGAGGGAAGCGGGGGGGGGCAGAGGAGGAGGCGGAGGGAGGACCGGAGGCCGCGGCGGCTAAGGCTGCTCGCGGCACTCGCCCGTCGTCACCTCACGCCTCCAGCGGCGGCGGGTTGGGCCGACTCCGAGGGCGACCGGAACGCACGCAGGGAAGGCCTGGCCACCGCGAGGGCCCGCCGGTGGTGTTCTCCGTCGCCTCAGCTACGGCCGCGGAAGTTGCTTGGCTCCCGGGAGCGAGCGAGCTAGCGAGCGAGCCCCAAGTCCAGGCGCACACAGGTCCGTGCTCCGGCCGACTGACGCTCTCTATCCGCCCGGCACTCGGGCAGTGAGGGAAAGAGGGAGGGGGGCGGGGTCTGTGCGTCAGCGAAAACCCCGACGGCGGCGACGAGGAGCGCAGTGACGTCGCGAGCCCGGCGCCCCGCCCCCGGGCCCAGTTCCCGGGTCCGGGAGGCGGGGTCGAGCTCGGCCCGGCTGCTGTCGCGCGGAGCCGAGTCACTGGCCCGCCTGTCGGCACCAGGGTGGAGCTGGAAGGAGCAAGTTCTGTGGAGACTGCGTTTCTATTTTTAACCCGATTGTCCGCCCTCAGCCTTCCTCCTTCCGATTTTCTCGCTCAAGCCCGCTTCTCGCCATCTGAGTTCTCACGCTTTGTCTCGAGCTCTTGGCAGACATTTCCCTTTCCTCCTTATTCCCCTAACCGCCGCCCTCCTCCGCCCCCCAACCCTCCCGGGGGTTAGTAAGAGGGATTCGCCTAGAGAAAAAGAAAATAACTACTCGCCTGCTTGCGAAGCCTCCCCTGCCCCGTTTCCGTGAACCCCCTTTCCGTTCTAAAGTCCAGAGAGCATCGCCCGGACGCCGCCGAGAAGCAGCGGGGCAGGCGGCGTTCGCTCGCTCACCCGCTCGCCCGCCCGCCCGCTCGCCCGCCCGCCCGCTCGCCCAAGGTCACGGGTGGTTGTGCAGAGTCAGGAAACTTGGGCCGATTGGCTGCCAGTCCCGGCGGCCCCGGCGTCGCTGTTCGGAACAAACTGTTTTGGCCAGCCTGTAAAATCCCTGGAAATCGACTATTCCAGCAAAGCGTCCTGAACTAGGAAAGCACCAAATGTTCTGCTCAAGACATGGAGTTGCGGGACAAACAAGCTAGACCCGAGGCAAAGACCAGAAAGAGGACACGTTGCAGGAGGAAGTTCATCAGAAGGGAGGTATGAGGCAATTGAGAAGTGAGGCCCAGGGCCTGACCAGTTAGCAACCGGCGGCGAGTGAACTCAAAACACTGAGAACCTTTCCAAAGCACCACCTGCCCCAGAACACCCTACTTAGAGCTGACCTCTCCAGGTGACTTAAGTTCAGTTCAAAAGAACAAAACACTAAGACAAATTTTGTAGTAAACAGTGGCCCACCGAATAAACAAACGATGTTTAGGGCTTACATGAGCCACCTTTAGAATGGAGTGAGAGGTCCTTTCGGTATTTCCCAAACTTCCTGGTCAGAGAAATCACCTGGGGTGATGATTTCAGATTCCCAGGCCTCTCCCCTGGCGATGCTTGGCGTTCTTCTGGGGGTGGAGCTCGGGAATCGGTATTTGTAAGTAGCTCTCCAGGTGGTTCTTCTTTGTGATTTTGGATAGTTCTGGAGAATGCTCTCCTGGTGCCCTGTGCCAGAATTTCCAAACACCATTGTGCTACGGTAAGCGCAATACCTAGAACATAATTGAACATTCCCTTTACGATTTAGGGCTATTGTGTTAGAGAGGGGGTGGTTTCAGTCACAGTTCCCCTGACCATTGGACTTTATTTCCTTGAATGAGTAAGGGAACTGGTAAAAACATAGCTGCTACCGTTTACAAACTGTTTTCGGTGCTGAGTTTTCTCCATTTAGGGTCTCATTTAATCTTTGCAGCAAGTCACTGAGATAGGTTCTATTTTATCCATTTTTACAGATGATGATTTAAAGGAATAAGTGAATTGCTGGAGGAGCTGAGGGACAGGGAAGCCAAAGAGAGGTGATTTTTACAGAGAACAAAAATAACTTCAAGATTCCCACCCTCCACCCCCTGAATTTTAGTTATTAAAAAAATGAAACAAGATAATTACTGAAGAAACATAGGAAAAAAACAGACAACAACAAAAAACCAACCAAAGAGTAATAAGGCAAGCTGATTAATTAATAATGTATTGCCTAATAGATGTTATGTAGCCCCTTCTGCTAATTCATCCTCTCCATCCACGCGTTTATAATTTTCTCTGTGAAACTGTTTCAACCAAGAATGTGGCTGGTATTGAACCTAATTTTAACAAGGTTCCCTTCCAGCAACTACTCTAGTTGCTCTCGAAGTGTGATCTCCAGACCAGTAGCATCAGCAAAACCTGGGTAGGCGTGAGAAATACAAATTCTCAGATCCCCACACCAGACCTATGGAATGAGAAACTCTGTGGATTTGTCTAGCGATCTGTGTTTTAAGTCCTCTGTGTGATTCTGATGCACACTCAAGTTTGAGAGCCACTTGTCCCTACTGTACTATCACATGACCTGTCTTTCAGATACTCATACCACGTGAAGAGAAAGGGTTCAAAAAAATCTGTTTTTTTTTTTCCTCATATTATTAGTATAACAGATTAAGGGATATGCTTCTAAGGAGTTTTGTTGTTGTTGTTCTAAATTTTTAGGTGGACTTCTAAAGACAAACTACAAAACTCAAAATATTTAATAGAATGCTCTTAATATAAGCATGCAAAAGGGCTGTCACTCTGTGGTCATCAGAGAAGGCTGAAACCAGCCTCTGGAAACAAGATATCAGGGAAAGTGGGTATGCTCAAAATGTGGTGTGATCAGCTAATTGTTCAAAATGCCTTTTGTAGAATTTTGTTATATAGGACATACTAAGTGACTGATACTGATCCATTCCCAAGGACTCTTTGAAAATTATTTATTTAACTTATTTATTGCCATTAAAGCGTTTTGTACACTTACTGCATTTTAGACATCCACTGACTGGGTGCTGAAATATACACTGGTAGGAAAAATTGATCTTACCCTTGTTCTTATGGACCTTTCTGTCATGATGGGGAGAAAGACATTAACAATATTATCATATAAATACATAATTATGAACTGGTAAATATTGGGAAAGAAAGATACAGAATGGTATAGGAGCATATAACCAATGACAACAAATACTGAAACTTCCTCTGGTCTGAATTTTATCACTGCTCATCCCCGTCGCCAGTGGAGCCAGGCTTATTTCCTTAAAGTAGTTAACTATAGTAAACTGCTATGTCCTGTGAGAAAGTTAGAACACTTAGTATTCTGCTTAAGAATTCAGGTAAAGTCATTGCAGGTTTGCTTAGATTTTTCTTTATACTCTAGGCATGGACCAAAAGAGGGGATTGATGATGGTTGGAGAAGAGCAAATGTAATTAAATTTCCTAAAAAGTAGAAAATGACATCCCTTAAAAATAGTAATAAAAGTTATTAGTCCTAAAATATAAAAGACATGGATATTTTAGCTTGACATGTAACTGCCCATTATGGAGACAGGAATTGCTTCTATGGCATTATTGTAATACCCTGTCATGGGTAACTTCGTTTTCTCTCTGTGCTTCAGTAGAGCTTGGTGAAGCACAAAGTCTTTGCTAGGGTTTTAAAAATTGGTGCGTATCATTTGATGTTCCCATAGTGACCTTCCTCCCTTTCCTTCTGCAGCCCCTTCCAAAATCTCAAAGATCAAAGTAAAGAGAGTCAATTTTATTTTTATTATTTTCAAAATGATTGGGGGAAAGGATTACAATATAGTATTTAGAGAAAATCAACTAATTAAAAAATTCAGAGTATAACACATTATTTAATTATGATTTTTTCCTCTTTAATCATTGATAATTAAATCATAATTAAGATATCAGTGAATCCAATAATAGATGGGTTATTAACCCAGCTCAACAAATGGTTGGCTAACTTTTTCTCTTAAGGAATGGATAAAGCAAGTAGTAATTTAATTATTGTGAAGCACTTTTGGTAATTTTAAAAGCGTACTTATTTTCAGTGAAAACAACTAGATCAAAGAATCTTCAAATAAGTAGCATGGATATCTTACCTGATTAGAGAAGACTTTCAAACACAATCCAGATACTGTTAGCATAGTCATAAACAATTTTAAGACTATGTAAATACCCAGAAGTTTTTATTATTTAAGTAAATCAAGACCTGAAGGTGAAGGAAATTGATGAATTAATACATATATGTATTTTGCTGTAGATATCACCTTTTAAGATACACACAAGGCGCTTTGGTCTCAAGATTTCAAGAAATCTTTGTGAGTGAACAGACTAGGAATGGATATTAACTGTGAATCTCAGTAATAAACTCTGGGATTGGCTTTGAAACAACACTTTGAAGCAGATCATAACTTGGGCTCATGGGTGGTAGGTGGGCCAGAAAGTCAGGAACAGGGTGGGTAATTCAGCGAGAGCCCAACAACTGGGATGTGTAAAGTTCTGGCAATGGGCAGTTGGCGCTAAGGTCCTAGATATCACACAACAGGAGAAGATCACGGAAAGCAGGTGGATATCATCAGAGAGGTCAGTTTTCAGGCAGAAGACTAACAAGAGACGTGGGTAGGGTGGGCTCTTGTCCTGGAGGAATTAAAGCACGAGGCAGAGAGCCAAGGCAAGTGTCTTATGTTTGTGTTATGTTTTTCCACTTATTTATAGTATATGTTCGAGTGTATTAGTACGATAAATTCTCACAACAGTCCATTGATCTATGTATTCTTGTCTTTCCTTTCGCAAAGGAGTCCACTGAGGCTTAGGCCAAAGTCATGTGTCCTGTTCAATGTCATGTACCTAGTAACAGAGCTGGGGAATTTAATCCTTGCCTCTGTCTTCTGGTTCAGTGTTCTGCGGCCTCTCTAGGAGCATTTCCCCTTTTAATTTATGTCATATATATATTTCCCCTTATAATGTGAACTACCATTTTACATGTTGTACATCACTCATCTCAGAATTATGAGCTTAATAGAAACTCTGATTAGGTGGTGTCTTCCTACCTAATAGGCAACTCCCTCCAAATCTGTTTGGTTCCATCTTCTCTAACCAACTTCTAAATGTGACATTCCTTAAGTCTACTTACTTCTTGAGCACTCTTTGTTTCTCTGTTGAACATACTCTCGGAGTGGTTTCACTCACTTCCATAGATTTGAATGATATCTGTACTCATTCCTTGGCTTACAGATGCTCGATTTATGAATTTTTTACTTACAAAGATATTTATATCTACTTTTAAATTTTATATGTAAACACTTCTCAATTTAACCGAGGACAGTTCTTTTTCCAGACTAAAGATATGCTATGTCATTGGAAGAGAAATTCATAGCTAGCCACTACTATTGTTGACTCATGAATAAATGGGAGGACCTAGGCATAGAGATGGGTGTATATTTATTCCCTGTGGATCTTGTTTCCAGAGTGGCCAAGATAAAGTTAGACCCTTAGAATCCCAGAGCAGGTGCTTTGGTTATTGGTATATGTCTGATTTAAGTCCTTTCTGTACTGTAATTTACAACATAGTAAAGCTTTAAATGTGAAACATATGTAGAGAAAAATCTTCTGTTTTATTGTAAAATTAAAAGTGATGAAACAAATTGAAGCAGGATAGAGAAATTTTAAAAACATTGCTTTTTTTGTCCATAATATAATAATATAAATAATTATATTTAATTATATATGTTAATTATATATAATCATATAAAATCAGAAAAGAATCTGAAATTGTTAATTCTTAATAGCATACTCTCAGTGAAATGTGTCTAAGGCTACACACAAATTGAAGATTTCCTGAAGCTTTTTGATGCTGGATAAAATGCTGCTTTGAGTTTCCTAATTATATAGCAGAAGTTAATGTCTTCGAAGACCTCAAGAAGGCTATTGAAGAGGGAGTCCAGGGGACAAAAGAATAGGAATAGAGTTCAGTGGACATCCCAGAAGGTTTCAGAGATTGGAGAAAAGTTTAGTCTTAGAGTAAATTCTAGACTGCAACTATGGACCAGGAGTTGGTTAGCAATGACACAGAGGAACTCCAGAAGAAACTCAGCACCCATTATTATTGTCATCTTTTAAGGAGGTTGAGCTCTTGGGAAAACAATTCCCCTAAAATCCAATGCTCTCTTGTACATTTCATTGACTGTAGAATGATGTCCTAGATCTGTCTCCCTAAGCTTTCTGAAGATCAAGGAGTAGATTGCTTTGTAAGCAGCTGCCAGCAGAGAGCTAAAGATCGCCTGGGGCAATGGTTCTGGTGGGAAGAGGTACTCCTACTCTAGGGGCACTTGTGGCTTCTCCTCTTGTCCAGTTCTTTCCTCTCTAAAAGACTTATCTGGGGGCGCCTGGGTGGCACAGTCCGTTAAGTGTCCAACTCGTCTTCCAGCTCAGGTCATGATCTTGAGTCCTTGATCAGGTTCCTTGCTTAGTATGGAGTCTGCCTGAGATTCTCTCTCCTTCTCCCTCTGCCCCTCCCCGCCAAGTAAATTAATCAGTCTTAAACAAAAAAGACTTCTCTGCCCTCATCCTTTTCTAGCTCAGAGGTTAAGAAGCATGCTCCATTTTTAGCAGTCTTCAGAAGGAGAAGATGAAATGAGTTCCTACAGTAGGGATTCAACCAGATGACTTCTACAGCCCCTGGCAATGAAAAGGCCTCATGATTTCTCTGAGTACATATTTGAATGAATAGGTTTCTGTTCATTAAATGTTTTTAAAAGTTCTATTCTTTTGTAATTACTTGACCTTACAGTTAAAGTAGAATTTTTAAAGAGAGTAAAAAGCCAGAAATTCAAAATAAATTAATTAAAAGAAAAATGAAAACCATACAGCAAGGTAACTGCATAAGGTTTAAAGGAACTGTAGAAGTTGCAGGCAGGTAATACTTAATATTTATTTTGTACTTATGTCGTGTTTTTCTATAACTTACATTTAATCCTTGTGATAATCCTTTGAAGTAGTGATGATTATGTTCTTGGACAGAGACAGAGTGGGGAATAAGGAAGTAATATATCTAAAATCACATGTTTTATTGAGGAGTAAAGTCAAGTCTGCTCAGTCTGATTCCAAAACTTGAGTTCTTTCCAGTGCAAGTGCCTTTCCTAAACTAGTCATAGTTACTTGGAATGAAACCTAGAGGGTCCTGTTGAGCTCTCTACCCAGCATATTCTAGACATCATTTTCACCATTCAGGTTCTGTGATCATATTGACAATAGAAAAGTCTCTATATATGTGCTAACAAGGTAGCCCATTCCAACCTCCTTAGAATCGTGATACAGGATTTAATCCAGATTATTACCATTATCTAGTTTGCAAAGACCTCAAAAAAATGTAACTTTAGTGTTCTATTAAAACATATTCCCTAAAAAAATAAATAAAACCCCTGATTATTAAGATGACGTGGCTAAAGACCAAGTGGTTAAAAACAGCTAACAACTTTTTTTTTTTTTTAAAGAACTTACTGACAAATCATGTTCAACAGTGTGACTATTTCTTTCATTTGTCCTCGGGTGCAACCCTGTGGACTCTTTACTACAGTCAACTCTCATTATCAGTTATTGAATTATTGCCATACACCTCACTTACAGTAATCTGGGTACTTTGCCATATGCACCAAATTTGTTTTCCTGTTTTGGAAGGATGTTGTTGATGAGGGAGGAGGAGGAGGGACAAAACAGTAGCAAAATAATTTAGGGGTGGAGTTCTTTCCTATAGTTGTTCATTATGCTATTTAAAAAAATTTGTAAGTATTAATAATATATGGATATATTCTCTTTGTATAAAGTTTAAGAAACATATGATTTTAATCTAAAAGTGAGTCTCCTATTCAAGCCACCCCAAACTGTTCTCTGCTTTCCAGAGATAATCCTTGGGTACTTATGCCTTTACCCCTAAAAACCTTGTTTTTAATGCATGTATGTCCTTATGCCTATATAGAGACATATCTGTGATTTGTTTACATACATGGAATTATGCTATATATATATGTATAGTATGCCTTGGGGATCTTTTCATGTCAGTGCATAAGAATTTACCTTATTCATTTTAACAAATTGCTGAGTAGGAGTGTAACACAAGTATGTTAATCATTATCTCATTTCTTAACTACGATAAATAATGTCAGTAAGAGCAGTAACTTATTCTGAAAATGTAGTGTATTAATACTAATTACTTGCATTTTGAAAACATTTTTATATGAACTTTGACTATGCTCAAATGTCAGTTCTTGTGGGTAGAATTAATTTTTAAGAAAGTAGATAAGTCTTATTAACTGATGATCATGTGTCCTTTCTTTCTCTTTTTCTCCCTCCCTCCCGCCCTCCCTCCCTTTCCCTTTCCTTTTTTTCTAACTTTGGGAAAGATATGTGTAAGGTGTTAAGATTCACCAGGAGAGCAACTATGATGTGAAGTTCTGCATCATTTTCCCTCAAGCATTAGCTAACTACCATAATGATAATAGGTAACATTTCTTAGGCACTGATAAAGTACCAGGTTTTGTTGTAGGCACTTTATACACATTAATATTAATTTATCTGGTTCTCATAGAGGAAGTAAGAAGTAGGCACAATTATGCCTGTTTTGCTAATGTGGACACTGTCAGAGGTTATCCTGGTACCAGACAAATGAGAGAACATCCACATGGTCACTTCCAAGGCCTGGACAGGGAGGTCTTATCCCTGGTGATAAAAGACAGCGGCACAGTTCCTGTAGGCCCAGCGACCACAGCCCACAGTGCTCCATACTCTCTGGGGGTCCAAGTTAGGGTGATCCATTCTTCTACTTTGCCTGACACTTTCCCCATTTTAGCATGAAAGTTCTATGTCCCAGTCAACCCCTCAGTGCCCTGGGCAAACCTAGATGGTTTAGTCACCCTAGTCTGAGTAGTGTCTGTTTTGAGGAAAAGCTGAGGAGAGTATACCTGGATCAGGTAGAGTAGCCAGTACTGGAGTAGCCCAGTCTCTTCGTCATCAAGGAGTGTGACAGGACTTCTACTGTAAACCATGGACAGTGAACATCTTTTTTAAACCCAGGTGTGTAAATGTTAAGAGTCAAGAAGCTTGCTAAGTTTCTCTCTCCATATGGTCCCTCCTGGATGTCAAACAAAAGGATAAAAAAAAAAAAGGAAGAGGCTTACTACCTGGGTTGCATTCTAATATATGAGAGCACAAAGGATGCTGAAGAGGGACCAAACTACACAAACTCCCCAAGAGCAAAACAAAAACAAAAACAAAAACAAAATAACAACCAGCAGAACTCCCTCCTCTTTTTGACTTTTTTTTCTTTTTAAAGATTTTATTTATTTATTTGACAGAGATCACAAGTAGGTGGAGAGGTAGGCAGAGAGAGAGGAGGGAAGCAGGCTCCCTGCCGAGAAGAGAGCCCAATGCAGGACTTGATCCCAGGACCTGGAGATCACAACCTGAGCCGAAGGCAGAGGCCCAACCCACTGAGCCACCCAGGTGCCCTCTTTTTGACTTTTAATATCAGGTGATATAAATGCAATATCCTGTCTCTACCCAGACTAGGCCTACAATATCTTATTCTTCCTTGTTTCAACTGCAGTCAGCAGTCTTAGCTATGGCATTACCTATGTTGCAAAGATTTAGGGCCTGTGTGTGTGTGTGTGTGTGTGTGTGTGAGAGAGAGACCTGGAATTAACCTCATCATAACAAAGATTAAATATCCCTTTAAGAAAAAATTTTCAAAGCAAAGATTGCATTTTTCCCCTTTGAACAGTCTGACAATCTTGATATATTTAGAGTTGCAAACAGAATGACTTTTTTTGTTGTTAACTCAGTCACAAATTGCAAAGGGGATCAGAAAACCAGAAATCAGTCATGTTTCTTGGCAGATGGTGGGTGCCAAGAGAAGGAATGATGGGACTCTGGCCATTCTTACAAAAAGAAACACAAGACATAGGCCTATCTGGTAAGATTTTATAAAGTCTGCCATAAAAACCACCTCATTTGAAAATTGCTTTACCTAAGAAATTATGCTAAAAATGAGATACAAACAGAATACAAATAAAAGAGTCAGCCAATTTTCACCCTCTTAACACCAGTTTAGCTCTGGAATTGTGCTTAACACAGCACCAAGTGACTGGGTAAGTGACATCATTGACCAAAAAACTGTACCTGACACAAACTCACAGGTACAGTGGGAGGCCATCAATTTTGCAACAATTTGTTTCTTTCCTGATTTAAAACAAAAAGTGGTTTTTATGCATCAAGGATTCTAACCTATTAACAACATTTCTCCTTTGCCAGTCACCACTTTCCTTTGAAAATGCCAAACTATGTAATCTGAGTAACGAGAACATCAGAAACAGACTTTGGGGGATGTGGTGAGAGATGTGGCCCTGAAAACACTGGGGACACTTTGTCCCCAAGGCCAGGGTCACTAGGGTAGGAAACGATGCTCTGCATAAAGGCAGGATGCTCTGAACTCTTATCAAACAAAAACATTACAAAATTTGCCACCTCAGAATTTCTGATGGGAGAATGAAGAAATCAGACCCTTTAATATATTCTTTTTACTAAAACAATGGACTTTCGGATCCTCTCCCACATATACTTATTGAACCTCTATCTCATCCCCAACAGGCAGCTGGCCCCCATGGAACAAAGTGAAAGGCGAGCTGGTCTTGTCCCCAGAGGAGCAGGCATCTCCCTGACCTCGTCTTCTCCTGCTCTCGCTCTCATTACTGTTCCTGCTACTCTGGCTTCCTTGCTCTTCCTCAAGCATGCTGAGCACTTACTTGCCTCAGCACCTTCCCACCTACTGCTTCTGTCTGAACAGCTCTTGTCCCAGACATCTCACTTTATTTACTCCCTGATTAAAAGTCATCCTCACGAGGGAGGTTTTCTGTGACCCAGCACATGAGAGAGCATGTGTGCGCACACACACACACGCACACGTATATAAATATATATATATATATATACACACACACCCTTTTACTATTTCCTTATCGTATCTTACTTTTCCTCAGACCCTTTTCTTATCCTATCAGAACTATACGTATTTTTGTTTCTTTATGTCTTTATTAAATGTCTTCTCTTGTTATCAGAGAAGCTCTGTGAAAGCAGAAATTAGTCTCTTTTGTTTACTCCTATAGCCCTGGCACTTCCCCCAGCATCTGGCAGCTCCTAGATATGCAGTGAATAATTGTGGACTGATGATTGAGTGAGGTAGTCAAATAGGCTGCTCTATTATTCACACCCAGGAGCCTGGTCTAACTCAGTGGTTTTCTTATGCTTTGATATCCTGAAGATCATGAATCACATTCTAAGTTACCTCAGAAATCTTCAAGGTCAATAGTTTTATTCTGTGTCCAGCAAAAGACTGAGTGCAGGAGGGAGGGCAAATGATGAGGCCTCTGTGTCTCCCCCACCCCTTCTTCTGTCTCCTTCAATTACGAACCTGCACTGAGCAGTTTTAGATAGTGAGCTTTCACAAATTTTTCTTGTAAAGATAGGATCTCCTAAGTGAAAAAATAGCAAACACCAGAAAACAACAACAACAAAAAAGAAAACGGCCACTTGAGGGAATTAGGGTGGGGGATGTTCATTCTCTGCCTCTATACTTCTGTCTGTATTCCTTGGGAACCCAGAAGAAGGGTCTAGGATCTTGGTGAGTGAGTCAGCTGGAGTCTTAGGGAGGTTCCACTTACCCCAAGACAGAACCTGGAGAGGGCCCTAAAAGAAAGGTGGAGTTTCATGTTTTAACTATTTTAGAAAATAACCTTGAAAGGCAGTATGATGTTAGGTAATTTTTTCTCTTCATCGCTTTATATTTCAGGGTTAGAGGAGTTAAATCAAATGCAAGTCTTTGTTAACACAGGCAAGGTCTTTCCTGAAGAATCCCTATTTTGAGAGAAGAATTTGCATCGTTCTCAGGGAAGCTGTTAGAAAAACAACAGTAAACAATAAAAAATTGTTTGGATTCTTACCAGTGGTCCACTGTTGACTGTTGAAATGGACAGCTGTGAGCTCCGTGCTCAGAGTTTTCACATGGCGTACAGGTCCTTGGGGGGAATTCTACAGTTGTCCTTTAAACAAACATATCTTTGTCGTGTTGAGAGAGGGATCTAATTTCATTCTGTTGGAGTGATGTGATCTTGGGTTTGTGCTAGGCCATTGGGAGTACTTAATACAGTTCAGACACTGAGGGATGGGGATTCTCACTGTCTTTGGCAAGTAGTGCCCATAACTGGCTGAAGGGGAATGAATGCCTCCACCACCTATTTGGCAACACCGTGGGCCTAGCACTGTGGGCTCAGTACTCTGGGGGGACTTTGAAGAATCCTGTTGCTGTTGCCTTCATGGCAGAATCAAACTTGTTAGAAGAGAGGCATGTTCATTTGTTTTTTATTACTTTGCTAAACACTGACTCCTGAACTCCAACTCTGTCTCAGTAGATCGGTTTTCTCTAGGAGCCGCTCTACTCCTTCAGAATCTCTCTTTAGTGTATTTTTAAAAGATTTTTTTTTTATTTATAAGAGAGAGAGAGAGAGAGAGAGCGCACTAGCAGGGGGAGGGGCAAAGGGAGAGGGAGAAGCAGGCTCTCCACTGAGCAGGGAGCCCGATGCAGGGCTCAATCCCAGGACCCCAGGATCATGACCTAAGCCAAAGGCAGATGCCTATGAGCCACCCAGGCATTCCTTTGGTGTATTTTTTTTTTTTTTTAAGATTTTTATTTTGATTCATTTATTTGAGATGGAAAGGAGGGAAGAGAGACGGGGAGAGAGAGAATCTCATGCAGACTCCCTGCTAAGGGCAGAGCCTGACATGGGGCTCAATCTCACAACCCTGAGATGATGACCTGAGTTGAAATCAGTCGCTTAACTGACTGAGCCACCCAGGTGCCCCTCTCTTTAGTGTATTTTGTGCACACCATCAACCTACTCTTCCTACAATAGAAATAGATTTCCAGCTGACTGGACTGGACTTGAGGTCTGGTTTAGAGTTTATTCTACTGACAAATAATACTAACGCTTCTGCCATAGAATTGTGGTAGGGATCAAATTTTCTTATTTTACCTATTTTATTATGCACCCTCTCGATAATGAAATAGGTTTTTAATAATGAAAACCTTTAAAGACTACCTCTTGCCTATGGAATAAAGCCCACAGCATTCAGTCTCTTGTAAGAGGCCGTCTCTTATGTGGCCTTTCCCCACGTCTGCCATGTAGAACCTCTTTTCAGGCAACCCAGCCTATTCACAATTCCTGGAACAAAGCCTTAATTTGCATATCTGTAACCTTCATGAAGGCAGTTGTCTTTTCTAGGAATGCCCTTCCACTTATCTTAGGCCGCTGAAACCCTACTCATTTTCAAGACTCAACTGAGTACTGTTTCTCATTAGTTGGCATCAGGCTTGTCCCTGGTTATAGCCAATAGCATATTGTGGTTATATGGGTAGCTGTATAATCTCCAAACAGGAGCCTTCCGAGTGAAAGGACTAGATCTAATTGATGTTTTTTAATCCTCTAAGGTGCTTTGAATATCATCAGCATTGAATGTGTATTTGCTGAAGGTGAGGATAAGTGAATAAACTCAGAATTAGGAACTTGTCTTACCTACCTTTTTTGAAGTTTCATGATTATGTTTCTCTACCTGGTGGAAGCCTTGGGAAATTCAGGTGATTTCGTGTGATTTTTTTTTTTTTCCCCTTAATCCTTGTCTGAAAAAAGATGGTCATGAGATGTAAGCTTCCCCCCAACCCCCCCTCAAGAATTCACAAGCCTCTCCTGGAGAATGTCATCATTTGGAGAAAGTATTTTATTTTCTATTTACTTTGCAATCCAGAATGTTCTTTCATGACTGTTCTTTCTTTTCAGTCTCATGACAGTGGTGAGACACGTGTTTTCTTTCTGCTTATAGATGAGAGACTTATGACTCAGACAAGTTTAGTAACTCAGTCAAGTAAGGGGGACAACAAAAGCAGAGCCAGCATCAAACCCAGGTCTTCTGATGCCAAAGCCGGTGTTCTTTCTTCTATACCACCGCTGCCATCTGGAATCTGGCAAGAGTTTGTACTTTATTTCTATTGTTTCTCTTCTGAAAAGAACAGCTTTGAAAATACATTTTAAAAATAAAGTCACTGAAGTAATTTTTTTGTTTTCACTATGTCATAACTTGATACCTTGTGTATGTCATTTGGCAAAGGAAGGAGTGTCATAGAAGGCTCTATGTCTGTAATTCTCCTAAGATGCTCTTGTCCCAATTTATGTAATCGAGGGTCAGGAAACGCATGTATTGCTATTTCTCGTGCCACTGATGTAGTGATGGGAAACATACTGTGACAATAAAGCCACCTGCCTTTAAACTTTCCAAATTCATAAAGGTAGCTTCAAGTTCAAGATATCAAGGCAAGCACACTTATTTCTTTCTTCTTCATAGGACTAATTTAAAATAATATTAGAAGAATAAAAAATATGCAGAGTCCACAAATGGAGAGAATTGTAGATAGTCATGAGCAGATGAGAAGAGGGGAAACAGATGCTCTAAGAGGTTTATAAGTGGAGCAAAGAGGAAGAAACAGCATTCTAGACTATCAGAGAAGGGAACTGGAAGGATAGACGTCACCAAGTTGCCTTGAGAAGCTTTGGACTCAGAACTGGAACATTAGTCCAAGATGTCCAACAGCCAAGGAGTAGGTGTTCTAGAAAGACAAAGCAGTCACAATAGAGGGAAAGACATTATTAAAGAAATAACATCTCCAGAGCTAAAGGGAGATTTTCCAATTCAAAGGGTCCATTAGAACCAAGTGAGGTAAATGAAAAAAGGCCCATATTTATGGGTTTTGTGAAATATCAGATCACTAAGATTTAAAGTGGGAATTTACACCCACACATCTTGAGGATGTCTCCAGTAAAAAGAGGGTGAAAATCAAGACAAAGGAAGATGTGGGATTGTGTGATAAAG